TAGCCAGGGGTAAAACGATGTACAATCACACTTATGCCAGAGGTAGAACGAAGTACAATCACACTTAGGCCAAGGTGAAACAAAGTACAATCAGACTTAGGCCAGGGTAAAACAAAGTACAATCACACTTATGCCAGGGGTAAAACGAAGTACAATCACACTTAGGCCAGGGGTAGAACGATGTATAATCACACTTACGCCAGGGGTAAAACGAAGTACAATCACACTTAGGCCAGTGGTAAAACGAAGTACAATCACACTTAGGCCAGGGGTAAAACTAAGTACAATCACACTTAGGCCAGGGGCAAAACGAAGTACAATCACACTTAGGCCAGGGGCAAAACGAAGTACAATCACACTTAGGCCAGGGGTAAAACGAAGTACAATCACACTTAGGCCAGGGGTAAAACGAAGTACAATCACACTTAGGCCAGGGGTAAAACGAAGTACAATCACACTTAGGCCAGGGGCAAAACGAAGTACAATCACACTTAGGCCAGGGGTAAAACGAAGTACAATCACACTTAGGCCAGGGTCAAGCACTAATTTATCTCTTATCAATAATAATATTTACTTGGTAAATGTGTGCACTATCGATGCCCAGTTTACAGAATATAAACATTATTATTTATGAAGGTCATCGATAAGCGTAAACAGGTGGAGAACAGTCAATTATACTGGAGGGTAGGTAAAAGACAAACAATATTTTGTAATATTTTTTTTTATATCAGTAATACATTTTCCCACTCCCTGAAATCATATGTGTGTCACGTGACATATTGAAATTCGAGTCACAGCTGTTTCATGGAACTGTCATATCCTTTTTGTTACTATTTTTCATCGCGGAAACAAATAAATTGTCCACCATGGAAAAAACACGAAGACGTAAAATCTGTTTTTTTTTTCTACATTTTCAAGTTCACTGTATCGGACCTACTTACGTCGAAAGACCTCAAAAATTAGACTGGCCACATCGTGAACCGAGAATAACATTCTATTTTGAGAGCTCGTTGGTACCAGATGGACACTTATTTTAATCCGTCGTGCATATAAATAAATATTCACCGGTACTTTCGCTGAAAGTAAACCAAACACAGGGAAGGGAAAACCATAATGTTTTGACGTTTTCAAGATTTACCTGATTGTTTATCATTGTACTGCATTTATCTGAAAACACACATACACAGAACCACGGGCGTCATGATAACGATTTTAAATGAACAGCAGTTTCCATGAAGACGACGTTCACAAATAATTGACGTTGTCGAGATTGACTCAGTTTAATTTCAATATAATTCAGTCTGGGCAAATAAATTAATTCGGCGAAGGATATCTCAAATAATGAATTAATTCTGTTATCATACTCTGTTATCATAGCGTGGCATAATTCAGTTAAACAATATGTTGCCATGGCAACCATGTGATACATTATTCATTTGTGTCACATTTAAAGTCTGCAGAGCATCCTGTGCATGGAAAAATCGTTATCTGACAAAACTACCGTTTATACAAGAATACACCGGATGTTTTACTCACTAAAGTAATCAGTGACATTGCCAAAGTGACAAGTACATACAGATAAATATAAAGTTTCTAGACTGCGGTTTTCTGCTTTCTCGGGGAGCAAGCAATCCTCGCGATGCAGGCTTGTAGTTGTATATTTTTATCACCCAAACTTGCTTATAGTTGTAAAATTATAGCCTCGTTCTCATTACAAACTACAGCGATTATGACAAAGATTAATAATAATAATATCCAGATATCGACATAAACACACCTATGGGTGAAATAAATATGGTATTTCTATGCAGGTGACACATTCCAAATACGGATGCACACAGTGACATCACAAGACGTGGCGTAGCAGGCAGCGCGTCTTGTTTATTATGCGTCAACCAGTCGGAACGTC